AATTAGCCTTCACACTATAAAATTACAGGCACGAAGGGGGCAGGGAGCCGTCCTTTTGTTTGTACATCTATTGTACCTTAAGGTGCTGTTCTAAGACTGTGGGTCCTAGATTCTACTGCAGTGCAAATCACAAATAATGGTACTATTCCATTGGGGCATCTGTTAACTACCAGCTAGTTAAGTGTTGGGAGCAAAAACACCACCCCCAAAACAAAGCCACACAGTGACAGGTCCAACTCTCTCTTTCCGGCTTTTGCAGTGGGCAAAAGTGATCAGAAGGGTGGTGGATGGAATGTTGGATGGGAACTTGCTGGCGTTCACACCGGTCAGCAAGGTGCATGTGGTCCTGAATGTTCAGCATTTGGAGACTGCAGTGGGTGTTTGGAGATGCTAAAGCTTGGTATTGATTTTAAGGATTTTAAAGGGCCTTCAATCCTGAAACTTGAGAGATGACTTTGTTCTAGGGTAAGTACCTTCATGGGGAGAAAATACTGAGTAGTAAAAGGCTCTTTAACCCAGTGGTGAAAGGCAGAACAGGAACCAGTGGCTGGAAGCTGAAATCAAACGAATTCAAATTAGAAGTAAGGCATGGATTTTCGAGTGAGTGGTTAACCATAGGAACAAACTACCAAGAGGAATGGTGATGCCTTTCTGTAATAGGTGCTTTGTGTTTACAATTAGACATAAGTTACTGAGGTCAAAATAGGGGTAAGTGGATGACATGCTGTGACCTGTGTAGTACAAAGACTCAGACTAGAGCAATTGGTTCCTTCTGGCTTTAAAATGTCTGACTGTGAAGCCCCCATTAAACTCAAGAAGATATATTGAATCATTTTATTTTCTTTCATCTCAGCTGTAAAGCCTGGTAGATGTTTGACTGTAAAATCTAAACTTTTGTACTAAATGTTCCACCTTCCTTTTCTTACAGTCAAGTTGATTATCGTGCCAAGCTCTGGGCCTGTAACTTCTGTTTTCAGAGAAACCAGGTAGGTTGGGAAAGTGCTTCACTTTTTCATTACCCTCTCTATCCACTTCATTCTCTAGGTCAGGGTAGTACAATAAGCAGATGTCTCTGCTAATGAGACCCTTCCCCAAGGCCTCTTTCTGTTTGTGCACCCAGTTCAGTGTTTCGTTTTCATCCGTGTGATATGAAAGCAATGGAATGTCATCTCTTCCAGTCTTGGCTCAGTTTTGCCAGTGGCTGTTTGCCAGCGCATGGGCTACTGGCAGCTGATCTATAGTTATTTTGGTGCCTTACAATTACTTTATATTCACTGCATGTTGAGGCCAGGACACATCGTTGTCCTTTGTTCTTCTGAGTATGAAACTTGCTAAGCAGGAGGCTGGGGTGGGGCTGGGAGTTGGAGTCCGGCCCACCCTGTGTCATCCTGCCATAGGGATGGAGCTGGTACCCTTGGATTATAGGAAGGATAAGGGGGCTCCTGAAGGAAGTATGTCTGCTGTCTACCACTTTGTATCCTTAACTAAACTACTCTCAGTTGCTTTCTAATTGAATTGTGCTGCAGATCCGCATGCATGCTGTTAGCCATTCAGAATGAAAAGCAGTGAAGAACTAATGTTGCATTTTATGCAGCTAAAAGAGCTTGCTGCTGTACCAGGAAGTAAAGGATTGAGCAACACATACTTGAGTTCGAAAGCTCTCCCCTCGCGTACATTGTGAACATTGCAGCCTTCAGAATGCAGGAAATATCCCTGCTGTTGGACATGTGTTCAGATGTCCTGCACAGTGAATTTGCTTGCTCTAATCCTTGGTTCTCCTTTTCAGTTCCCTCCAGCATACGCAGGCATATCCGAAGTGAATCAGCCAGCAGAACTTATGCCTCAGTTTTCCACAATCGAATACATAGTGCAGGTAAGCTCGTCATAGGCTTTAATGTGAAGACTGGAGAGTGGAAATGGATGCAGGTCCTTATACTTAGCATCCACTCTTCTCTATTTTAATGAATGAATTAGAAGCACTGCTGAGGGAATTCTGCAGCAAAACATTCCAAATTTTGCACACAATATTTTAAAATTCTGCAAAATTCTGCCACATAGTCACTTTGCTATTCAGTCATGTATTTACACTACAAAACAATGGATGGACAATGGGTGGGGAGTATTGGAGGAAATCCCATGCTACCTTGCCTAACAGTAACATAGTTAGGTTTGACCCTTTATTTATAGTCAGCAGTTTTATGCAGCCAGATGCTCAGTGTTACATCGCAGGCAACTGATGAGCAAGAGAGGGCTGGGGAATCAAACTCACAATTTATATTGGCTACTGACCATCTTTAAAAAGGTCAGCAGCAAACTGTATGGAGAACATTTTAATAGGACATTATTTCAATCCAAAAATTAGACCAGTTCTAATCACTGAAGCACCCTGAGCATTTATAATGTCATATTGTCCTTTACGTTACTTTTTCTAGAGGGAGCTGTGTAATCCTGCCAACCCAGTGACCAGTGGGTCTCTAATATCAATTTCATAGGTCAGAAAAGTCAATGGAGAGATAAATGTCTCCCAGGTCTTTGTCCTGCCTGCCTGTCTTGATGCCTCCAGTAGTGAGAAAAGGTGACCATTTTTTGCTAATCTCACTGCACATCGGTAGTGGCTGTTGTCAGTGGTTCTGGAAGAACACTGTGATATCCTTGAAACAAGTTATTTGAGCTTGCTGATTTGTAATAGCCATTTGTGAGTGAAGGATGTGAGAGTTTTCTTATTCTTTAACCATTTTGGCCATATCTACAACAGTCAAAAATCTTTTGTTCCCTTATAATAATTCCCAGCCCAAGGTGGTTGGGCAGTATGTGACATGGAGAGCATATACAGATTCACTGTAAACCTTTTTTCTTTCCTCAACAGAGAGGGTCTCCGACCCCACTGATCTTCCTTTATGTTGTTGACACGTGTTTGGAAGAGGAAGATTTGCAAGCATTGAAGGAATCCCTGCAGATGTCGTTGAGTCTGCTGCCTCCAGATGCATTGGTGGGGCTGATCACATTTGGCAGAATGGTCCAGGTTCATGAACTGAGCTGTGAAGGAATCTCCAAAAGCTATGTTTTCAGAGGGACCAAGGACCTGACAGCGAAGCAAATACAGGTGTGTTCTGCCATCTCTGCCGACACACAATCCAATGTGTCATTCCATTTAGGTCTTTAATCACATCTCTCTCCCTCTCCCCTTCCCCTTTTAAACTCTTGGCCAGCAGAGAGAGCAAATGGGAAGGACAGTCTAATGCTTAGAGTGCTACCCTTAGGAAGCCCTGGGTTCAATTTTCTGCCCTGCTGTAGACTTCCGGTGTGACCTTGGGCGAGTCACTTAACCTGTCTATCCATAGGTTTCTCCCATCTGTCAAAAGGAGAGAATAGCACTGCCCTACCTCACAGAGGTGTATGAGGATAAATACATTAAAGATTGTGAAGCAGTTAAATAGTAGGGTAAGGGGTGGGGAGGCTAGATGAGTACCTAGGATCAGTAGCTAGATAGTAAATAATAGATCTGATGTTTAAATAATCAGGATTCTCCTTCCCATCACCTCCTCCTGTCTGATAGGATATGCTGGGTCTTACGAGGCAAGACCTCTGCAAACACAGGAACAACCACTTATTTCTAGCAGGTAAGTGGCTCTGCAAAACACACTCTGCCAGGGGGGCAAGCCAGGTCCCATGTTTGCATTATGACCTGTACGACCCAAGCTCCTAAATGCAGGTTGCCTCAAAGACAAGATGGCTTCTAAGATAGCTTGAGTTGTGTTCTAATTGCAGTATATTAGGTACAATTGTAGATCTATATTGATGGGTTTTATCTGAGCATCATATGAAACTTTGATAGTGTCTGTTTCTTACAGATTCCAGATACAGTGCCATCCAAGCTGGATTTCTGTTTGGAACTGCATGTGAAAATTGTTACTTAGAGTTTATGCAGAGACTGCTTATTTTGTTCTGTTTGTACTGGGGATGTTAAATTTAGATTAATTGGCTAATCGAATAGTCGAAGCAATTTGCATCAACTATTTGGTTAGTTGATAAGGGTGTCTCCGCCTTTGAAGTGTAGCAACAGGCCTAAGGCTGTTGCTATATTCAAAGGTGAAAGTGCTGCAGGGAGCACGGGGCCAGCGGAGGACTCAAGCAGTCCCACAACGGTCTCGTGCTCCCTGCAGCATTTCAAAATGGCAGCGCTGCATGGAGCCTGGTGTCAGCTAGGGACTCTTGAGTCCCCAGCTGACCCCGGGCTCCATGCGGCGCTGCCCCTTTGAAATGCCATGAGGAGCCCGTGTCAGATTGCACATGGAGTTTCAAAGAGGCAGCAATGCATGGAGCCCAGGGTCAGCGAGGGAGTCTCCTCCTCTTTCTCATACCCTCCCACGCTGCCTCTTTTGATAGAGGCAGCAAGTGGGGGGGGCGGGGGGAGGAGCAACTAGTCGACTAGCGTGTCATTTGCTTATCAGATAGTTGACTAGTTGTTCACATCCCTAGTTTGTACAGCACTAGCACAATGAGGCCTGGGTCTAGAACTAGGACTCCTGGGCACTAATGAAATACAAATAATAATATTGTGAAAGTCAAGCAGATTGATGAATGATTAGACAACAGTTGGTGTTTGTTCCCAAATTAAACTATGTTTCCTCGTATTGGATCATAGCTCACATGCTCTCTGTCTCCCTCCCTCTTATTCTGTGGCTAGTGTTCTGTGCAGTTTGGTGGAGTAGTCCTCATGCTGTGTTCTTTGTATCGTGCTCTGGTCAAATTGTTTATTTGTTCCTTGTGCCTGTGATTTTGAAACCTTTAGCTGTAAGATGTGATGGAGAGCATTATTTTGATAGTTTTTGGCAGCAAAGACCAAACCAATGGGATTTATAAGCAGTGAAGTGTTCCTTTTTGAATTCTTGCAGGTTCCTGCAGCCTGTACACAAGATTGACATGAACCTGACAGATCTTCTTGGGGAATTGCAAAGGGACCCGTGGCCAGTGACTCAGGGAAAACGACCCTTGCGATCAACTGGAGTAGCTTTGTCAATCGCTGTTGGTTTATTGGAGGTAATTCTAATTCACTCTTCATGTGAGATTACCTGGTAAAATTAAAATCGTATGGGGTTATGCTGGGCTTTACCAATGTGCTTCAGTTTTTGAAAAAGTTGGTCTGTGGCCTGATGGTGTATCAGTAAGGCCCTACCAAATTCACAGTCTGTTTTGATCAGTTTCACAGCCAGGAGGGTTTTAAAATTAGTCAGGTTCATGTTTTCAAATGTTGACCTCTGACATTTCATGATAGTGTAACCAGAACATCCCAACCCAAAAGGTGGTGGGTGCGGGTCTCAGGACTATTGTAGGGAGGTCAGGGGATTGCTATCCTTCTGCCCTGTTGCTGATCAGGACGCTTTTTTCAGAGCTGGGTAATGTGTTTTTCATGGCTGTGAATATGGCAGGGCCCTACATATCAGACATGAGTGTGGTTTGTCAGATCCATTACTTTTGAAATACCCACTCAAGTTTTTTATAAGAAAATTATACAACTTGACGCCTCCTGGAGTGTAATGCTGGGCATAGTAATAATTTACTATATATTTGATAGAATTTGTGTGTCTGTCTGTCTGTCTGTCTGTCTGTCTGTCTGTCTGTCTGTCTGTGAGCCTGTTTGTTCAAGAACGCCTCCTAAACGGTAAGAGTTAGAATCACCAAATTCAGTATACGGCTTCCTCCTATTGTAGCTTAAAGCAAGGTGAGGGTTTGGCTGTGCAGGGACAATGGGATTCGTTTGGAGTACGATTGTTTCTCACAAAACGCAAAGGGAGGGGTCGAATAGCAGGCACAGGTATACTGCAGAATGACCACACAGGGAGGGTGTACCAGTAAGAGCGTGGCTGGCTGGGGGCACGGCTCTGGATGTTGCCAGCCACCATACACGAGTAAGGTTCTTGTGCTGGTGAGCTGCTGGCCTGGCAGCATGGCTCTCTTTTCACAGCTGGGCAGCACAGCCCCTGCTGCCCTGGCCAGCCCTGGGGATTGGCCAGCCCCAGTGATCTGCGGCCCCGGGGAGCTGCTGTCTGGGCCGTGTGACCCCTGCCGCCTGGCCAACCCTAGGGATTGGCCAGTCTTCTGCACCGCACGCTCTGCCATGATCCCCATAACACCTCCCTATCCCCTGCCCCCCACACTCCCAGTCCTCTGCCCTGAGCTGCTCCTCCTTTATGATCCGAGCAATGCCGGGCAAATATGCTAGTACTTAAAAAATAATATTTAAAAGATGCCATGTAGGAGGGCGTTTAGGGATCTCAGAGTTACTTCCCACATTGATGGTGGCTTTCAGATGCATCAAAGCCTCACCACATCTCTGTGGAATCATCCACTGGTTTTGTGAATGGATCATCTGAAGCACAGCAGGGAAGATAGGAGCAGATACCCTGTTTCCAGGGGTGGTAGCACAAAATCAGATCTGCCCTATGTTTAGAAGTTTACAGCAGAGCATCAGTCCCTACTGTTCCATGCTAAGAGGGACAGAATTATTCATTGAGGAAGCCCCTAAAAAAATTCGATCACAATCAGGCCCCTGAGGTGCTAGATGCTATACACACAGGATGACCCAGTTCTTGCCCCAAATAGTACATTAGAACTAGTGTTGTCCTTTAATCTGCCCATCTCTAAAATATGCCTTTAATGTTATTTTAGGGCACATTTCCAAACACGGGGGCCAGAGTCATGTTGTTTACAGGTGGACCACCGACACAAGGTCCCGGCATGGTGGTAGGAGATGAACTGAAAACACCAATTCGTTCCTGGCATGACATAGAGAAGGACAATGCACGGTTCATGAAAAAGGCCACAAAGGTAGGTCTTACTGTCTGCTAACGCAAAGAAGCTACTTCTGCTGCCCAGTCATGGACCTGCTGGGTATAACCAGTTGGGTGTCACGATGCATGTGATTTTCCAGTTTTGCCAGCTCAGGGCTCTAAGCCATTCCTAGGGAATCGATAGGTAAATCCCAGGTGTGTATTGGTGAGCTGCACTTCACGCTGCTAGCCCCTTTGTGGGACTTGACTAGTGACAAACAGCCCACTTCTTCATGGCCTCGAGGCCTGTGTTCTAGACACGCACCTGGGTCTCCTTCAGGTACAGATGTGCTTTTTTCAGCCGACTATCTAGGCCAGGCTATAAGGTTGGGTTCTGTTTCACCAAGTCCCAAATAAAAGGCTAAATCCCTCAATCCCTGTCTGCATTCAGCACAGCTCTGTCTCCAGAGAATAAGAAGATATTTTAGTGTTTCCCTCAGGAATGATCTAGCCCTCAAGTCCGGGAGTATCCTAACCCCTCTTATCTTTATGGCAAGAGAATTCTTCTCCTGGTGAGAACTAGTCAGTCTCCAGGTACCTTTTGGGTTATCTTGCCATGTAGCGAAGTGGTTAAAACGTGCTGCATTTATGGAACGTACAGCGTGGTTTGGAGCTGGTAGTGAAGATCATACAAGTGAAAAACAAGCTCTCGTGCAGTGCTCATTGTGTTCTGTGGTTCTGGGATTTAGGGTCCTTACCTTAGAACACAAAAATGAACATACTGGGTCAGACCAAAGGTCCATCTAGTCCAGTGTCCTGTCTGCTGACAGTGGCCAATACCAGATGCCCCAGAGGGAGTAAACACAACATGTAATCCTCATGTGATTCCTCCCCTATCACCCACCTCCAGACAAACAGAGGCTGGGGACACTATTCCTACCCATCCTGGCTAATAGCCATTGATGGACCTAACTTCCATGAATCGATCTAGCTCTTTTTTGACCCCTGTTAAAGTCCTAGCCTTCCCCACATCCTCTGGCAAGGAGTTCCACAGGTTGACTGTGTTCAGAGTTCAGAAAGGGGGTGGTAGGTCACCATTGAAAGAGAACATGCTTTCCCCATGGCAAATTCCTGCGTTGGCCCTAGCTTTAGAACCCAAGGAAATCCATACACGTGTGTTGGAATGTTTTCAAATCTCTGTGTGCACCCTTTGCCTCCACAGCACTACGAGGTTCTCGCTAACCGCACGGCAGCCAATGGTCACTGCATTGATATCTATGCCTGTGCTCTGGATCAGACTGGCCTTCTGGAGATGAAGTGTTGTGCAAACCTCACTGGGTATGTCCTCAGCCCTGAGCAGTAAGCAAGCTCAGCCCTGGGTGTTGGGGTGGAGGAGCGAGACAGGAAATGATTAATTTGATATCAGCGTTTGGAGGTGAGCAGCTGTCATCATTTCCCTGTTCTAAGCGTTCGCAGGCTGATCTTGTGTCCATTGAATTCATTGGCAAAGCTGCCCTTGATGTCAGAGATGCAGGGTCACACTCTAGGGCAGAGTGTATGAGACCAATTTTGATTGCCAGTAGCTAAGCAGATGGCCTGCTTAGAGAAGGGTGATTTAACATTTTCACCAATCCCTAAACCAAGGGTGGGGCCTTTGCTACAAATACATTTTGTTTCACTGAGACATAGCAAGGACGCTCCCAGAGAGGAGAGCAGAAAAGCAGATTAAGCAGGCATATCGGGAGCAGTGGCATTCTGGGTATAATGGAAAGTGCCTGTTAGTCCTTCACTGTGCTCCGCTAAACAAAATGTTCTATAGGGACCAGGAGGGCTCGGTTATGGGAGATCGAACTACTTGGCGCTAGGGCACCGGATTGAATTTGTTTCAGTTTATTAGCAGAACTGTTAATTCTTATGAACTCGTGGCCTCCCTGAGCCAAGAAGCCAGTGCCAAGAGTCATTGCAGTTCCTAAGTGGGCATGTACCATGATCCAGACACCATCGTAATTTGTACCAAGTAGCATCCTTTCTGGCAGCATGTGCAGAGGTGCCATACCCTATAATGCCCCACATAGACATGTCTACACAATAGGACAAAGTCGGATTAAGATACGCAGCTTCAACTATGTTCATTGCATAGCCGAAATCGAAGTAGCTTAACTTGGCTTTTGGCGCTGTCTGCACTGCAGGAAGTCAAAGGCAGGACATTCTTCCTTCAGCTTCCCTTACTCCTCATGAAACCAGGGTTACCAGCATCGACCAGAGCGCCCCACTCACTTCGAATTAGCTGTCTTAACTAGAGCTGCTAATTCGAACCCTGGAAGATCGACAGCAGCAGCTTCGATCTTCCTCTGTATTGTAGACATACCCATAGGGACTGCCTGTCTTTAATCTGCCAATTGAGGTCGACAGGGCCAGTTAACCGGGACGTCCCTCTGCTGGCAAGCTGGTTTGTATATGAGACTCTCAGCTCTAGAACTGCCTTTCCTTCCTTTGTGTGCTAGACCTTCAGTCCGCACTGTTAGGACCTGTCTGTTTCCTCAGGTTTTTTCTGAGGAGGCGAGCTGATGAGGGGAGGATTTAGCTGGGGGCTGTTTGTGGGTTGGGGCGTTGTGAAATGTGTCCAGAATCATCACGGCTACGGCATGAAGTGCTCCGTGAGTTGGGTGTACTGCCTGCATTGCAACATAAATGGAGGAAAGCAGAGCTGCCCTCCAGCCCTAGAGATGCATCTTCCCAATCTCCATTCTAGCACACGGATGGGGAAGTCTGCACTGCCATTGCAAGAACTGTTCTCTGGCCAAATGGAGAGCTCCCTGGCTGTCAGGCTAACCCCCTTTGAATAGACCTTCCCTTTTTGTGTTAACTCAGATCTTTCCCCTTTGTACACCTGTGCCTTGGAGTGGTGCCAGCACGTTCAGATGTGTGGAGTGGAATGGAGCTAGTTCCTAGCTTTGCACCTCACCATGGAAACTTTCAAAAACAGTTTCTGGGCATGTGGGGGAAAGGAAGAGAGGAGTAGGAAGGAGACATCCCTTGGGATTCTATTCCAGTTACTTGATCAGTTCCCTTGTTGTTTTCCGTTCCCAGGGGTCACATGGTGATGGGAGACTCCTTCAACACTTCTCTCTTCAAGCAGACGTTCCAGCGGGTGTTTAGCAAAGACTTCAACGGACAGTTCCGAATGGCATTTGGTGCTACCTTAGAAGTGAAGGTGAGAGACCGGGGCTGGCGAAATGGAATTAACAGCTAAACTGGAGTGCTCGTTACTGATCTATTAGTAACATGAAATAGTTAAATACATTTAACAATGTTAAATAGCTGGTTCAGTGTAGGATATAAAGAATGAAACATCTGGGCTTATTTTGCAGCAAGCGACATTGAAGTGAGTTATTTTAAATTTCCAGTCTCTGCGCAGGAAGCAGCAGCTGTAGAATGTGTCTTTTGAAACCAAATCTGTTTGGAGGGAATTCCAGCCCTGGCTAAGAGAATTCTAAAATCCTGACAGTATCTATCCTAACCCCTTAGCCCTGCAAGCTGTTCCAGGCAGGCTGAGCCCTACTGACTTGAAGCCCCTCATATCCCTTGGGTTGCTGGAAGGGGGGTGCTTTCTCTCTGGTCCCATCTTGGCACCTGTTGAATAGTGGGTGGCTTGGCCTCTGATATTCTCCCCTGCCTCCATTTTTGGGATTGTCCTCCTCACTCTGAATAGCTCCTGTGCCTGCCCATGCTGGTGCTGTTGGCTTTCCCAAGCAGCAGGAGAAAGAAATTGACCAGATGCTTGTCACTTTCACAAATAATGAATTCTTTTGGGTGTTATTCTTTGGGGAGGGCTTAATCTTTGCAGAGAGGAATGGCTTTCCCCTACCCACCCACGCTGGTCAAGGAGAATTTCCTACTCCCACTGGCAATTGTGGGTTTGTGGTTTTTGTCTGAAATCTGATTATGTAGGTCGGAGGTTCTCAAACTCTAATCACTGTCTGGCAGTCAGAGATAGTCATGTGGACTACATTTCCTCCCCTCCATGATTGCACAACATTCCTATGGCACCTGCAAAGATTGCTGTGGGAAATGAGTGGATGTGGTTTTAACTCTCCTTTCATATAACTCAGCAGCTGGAAAGGAGAACAAGGCAGCCCTGCGTGGCCCGCCTGCTCTCTGCAGAGCAATTTGGGAACCTCTGCTTAACAGTGTCTTTTCTGATTAAAGCTGAGCTCTGGCTTTTTCTGTAGCTTGAGATATGTGCTTGCTTCGACTGATTTGATTTTCAAATTGTTCTGATCCTATTTTAGACTTCTAGGGAGTTGAAGATCTCAGGGGCTATTGGACCGTGTGTATCCCTAAACGCGAAAGGGCCATGTGTTTCTGAAAGTGTAAGTCACCGACATAAAACATCTTTCTTAAGTAAGCTGTGCAAAGTCTTTTGGCTTGTCCTGTAGGCTGACAGTAATGCTGGGTTCTGTCAAGGAGGAAGAGACTGGTTGGGGAGTGTCTTTGGCATGTAGCGCCTCAGGCTAGAGGAAAATAGGTGCATTGTATAGTGTAGGCAGTGTGCTTGGTCTTTGAATGAGAGGGGTGGGGTCCTCTGCAGGGCTGCCTTTGATGCATGGCAGAGAGAGCTGACCAGTGGAAAGAGAGAACTGGTGTCCTTGGAGAAGACAGCTGAATCTGGCTTTCACTGTTACGCAGCAAAGCGCGCTTTTTTTTTTTTTTTTTTTTGCAAATTCATTTTGGGACTTCAACTTATATCTAGAAGGTATGAGATCCAGTAGAACAGGGATGAGGAACCTTTTTCAGGTGGGGGGCCGCTGACCCACAGAAAAATCAGTCGGGGGTCGCACACAAGTGAGAAGCAGAGTGGCCCCTGACTGAGGAGCAAGACACTCCCTACAGTCCCCTCGCACACCAGCTATTGGGGGGGGGGGGCTCAGGCTAGTAGACTTTGTGTGCTCCAGCCCCATGGGGAGACAGTGCAGGCTCCCCAATGCTGGGGCAAGCCCTAAGCCTCGGGGTGCCAGATCCAGGCAAGCCGGGGGGAGGGAGGCTTGCATTGGGCCCCTGGGCGTTAGGTTCCCCACCCCTGCAGTAGAGGGCATGTGCTGAATCTTACGTTTGGTCAGAATTTAAAGTGGTCTTAACGTATCCCACAATAGAGAAAAATATAGCCACTTTCTTTTAAACCCTCTCCAGGAACTTGGTATTGGAGGTACATGCCAGTGGAAAATCTGTAGCCTGGATCCCAGCTCAACACTTGCCATATATTTTGAAGTGGTGAATCAGGTCGGTCCAGTTTTTTTCCCCTCATTTATGGACAATTACAGAATACAGTTGTCAATAGCAGCTATCACCCGCCTAGTAGATCCATGACGAGTGATTAAACAAGTTCCTTTGTAACATACGCTGTATCAAATAACAAGCATCGTGTCTAGAATGAACGGTCTCACCCAAACAGCATTCATACTCCTAGTTGCTGTACTGATGGAAAGCGCTAAGTCAGAGCTAAGTCATAAAGGGTTTTACCTTGCACAGTGACTCTATTGTTTCTCTTTCTTCCCTTCCCTCCTGTACTTTATCAGTCCTGCCATCTCCTTCCAAGTGTTATTTTTCCACTACTGTAGGGACACTAAACTGCTCTCATCCTTTATTAGCCAAGTGATATAGAACCTGGTAGCAAAGTATCTAATGACCTACTGTCTCCATGGCTTATGCTGGGACTGCTTAATATTCCTTATATTTTCCAGCAGCCCTCAAAAGTGACATTCTTGAGCAGCAGGTCTCTAGCTTGCCGTTATATTCAGGCTTGACGTACAATTTCCTTGTGCTCTTTTGCTGTTCTGTAACTCCAGCCTAAGCTCTTTTTAGGAGCGTGACGCTTTATTCCTCTGTTTTGCAGCACAATGCACCAATACCTCAGGGCGGTCGAGGCGCCGTGCAGTTTGTCTCTCAGTATCAGCATTCCAGTACACAGAGACGTATTCGAGTAACCACCATTGCCAGAAAGTGAGTGCCAGAGACCAATCCCTCTGCACTGGTTTTTGATGGCAGAAACTTTAGTCTATATTTCTGAATTTTTTTTATTCCTCTGTTTTGCAGCACAATGCACCAATACCTCAGGGCGGTCGAGGCGCCGTGCAGTTTGTCTCTCAGTATCAGCATTCCAGTACACAGAGACGTATTCGAGTAACCACCATTGCCAGAAAGTGAGTGCCAGAGACCAATCCCTCTGCACTGGTTTTTGATGGCAGAAACTTTAGTCTATATTTCTGAATTTTTCCAGCAGTCCGGGGGATGTTTTGCCTGTGCAGCACAAGCCTGTTTTTGTACTCAGTAAAGATGAACGTATGTAGCCCTAACTTGGCTATTTTCAGTTGGGCAGATGCACAGAGTCAGCTCCAACATATAGAAGCGGCGTTCGACCAGGAAGCAGCTGCCGTGCTAATGGCTCGTCTGGGAGTCTATAGAGCTGAGTCAGAGGAGGGACCTGATGTACTGCGATGGCTAGACAGGCAGCTAATCAGATTGGTATGTGTGAGGGCCTAATTTCAGTGGGTTAAATCTGAAACGGTGTGATTGTGAATGTCGTCTGCGTCTACACCTAAGACACTACAGCTGCACTGACTGCAGCAATAGGAGTTCTCCCATTGCTGTAGTTATCCGCCACCCAAGATGTAGTACCTAGATCAACAGAAGAATTCTTGCATGAGCCTAGTAGTGTGTGCACAGAGGGTTAGTCACAGTCTCTCGGGGATATAGATTTTTCACACCCTAAGAGACATAGCTATGCCAATAAAAGTTTCCAGTGTAGACCAGCCCTATTAAACATCAACTATTTCACTGCTGAGCATTTTAGCAAAATCCTCCAGCTAACATGATTTTGCTACAAGTCTAAACTGCCTCCAGCTCTTTTACAGGCACCAAAAGTTCCAGCTGCCTAAATCTCCAGTTATTCTCCAAAAGCCTGTATGGACTGGTCTGTACTAACAAATTAGATCAACCATGCCCATGAGCAACATAGCTGGAAAAATCCACACTACAGAGTGATGGAGTTAAGCTGACCTAAGTCCTCACCTAGATGGCGTTAGGCTGATAGAAGAATTCTTCTTTTGACTAAGGCCAAGTCAACAGTAAAAGGGAAGGTTGAATCAAGATACATACGCAACTCCAGCTATGTTTTCAGTTTTCCTGTTGTCCCCAAAGCGGGAGGCAGAAGGGAGCAAACGCTCCCATTGGCTTCCCTTACTCCTTGCAGAAACAGCAGTACTGGCTGCCCATGAGGACATCCCCCTGAGTTCAATTTAGTGAGTCTTATGTAGGCCTACTAAATTGAACTCCGGAATATTGATCTTAGCTCCGGGGGTTCAGTGAAGACATGGAAGATTCACCTCTTGGGGAAGTGGATTAACTATAGTGATGGGAGAACCCCTCCTGTCACTCTAAGTGTCTATCCTGAATGCTCCAGCACTCCAGCTACTGTGCTGGAGCTGTGCTCCTGTGGCATTTTACGTGTAGGCGTAGCCTAGCATGCAGCTACATAGTGTTAGCACAAAAATCTGTGGTATATGAAATACTGACAATGTGGAGTCAGTGTAAAATAAAGGCGAACCGAACACTAAAACAAATGCGAGGAGCTGGCTACTGCATTTATGTGCAGTGTTCATTTGCTTATTTCAGTCCTTCACACCATCCATTTTCAATGCTGCTGCTGCACAATTTCCATTCTGCATCGCAGAGCCAATGAACACTGGGCCAGCCAGTGTTTGGTAGCATAAAAGACATCTTGGCCATAATGAAGCCTAAGTGATGTGATACACAAAGCATAATGTGAGAGCCAGCTACCTGATCAGAACTGATCCAATAAAATCATTCCTCTTGGAAGCAGTTTTTTCACTCTTTGGTTATTTTGAATCTGAACTTTGTCCTAAGCTGGTGATATGTATTTAACATGCTAAAATATGGTAAGTGAAGATAGAGTCCAATCATTATTCCAGCCACATGCATAAGTGACTTAATGAATAAAGGGATAAGAACATAAGAACGGCCATACAGGGTCAGACCAAAGGTCCATTTAGCTCAGTATTCTGTCTGCCACAAGTGGTCAATGCCAGGTACGTCTGAGGAAATGAGCAGAACAGGTTAATTAGTTCCTGCTTTTAGCAGTGAGAGGTTTAGAGAAACCACATTGTGCAATATTTCTCTGCATCACCTTTTAGGATTCTCTTCCTATCTTGGTTACTCTGTACAAATTCTTACAACTGCAGAATGTATGAAAGAAACAAACAACCTCCTCCCCTGCAAAGATTGAAATATACACATTCCTTCCAACAGTGTCAGAAGTTTGGACAGTATAACAAGGATGACCCGAATTCCTTCAGACTGTCAGATTCATTTTCTCTGTATCCCCAGGTAAGGACTCCACTTTGTGTGGACATGGACATGTGGAAAAAAGCAATTACAGGCAGAAATGTGAATCAAATACAATTATGATTGTCTGATGATTTTTAAATTTGTTGTGATAAGAGTCAGCACAGCACGTAGTTAAATGCTGTAAACAACTGGTCTATTAAGCTTCCAAAGAGTTAATTAGAGGAAAGACTTTGGCAGTAACTTCTTGTACTTTGAAACCAGACTTATGAATAGGGAGGTAAAAAAAATCCATTGATTATTTTTTTTTCTCATTCATCTTTCTATGTAAATATAGTTTATGTTCCACTTGCGACGCTCTCCATTTCTGCAAGTGTTTAATAACAGCCCGGATGAATCTTCCTATTACCGCCATCACTTTGCCAGACAAGATCTGACTCAATCCCTCATCATGATCCAGCCTATCCTTTATTCCTATTCTTTCTCTGGACCGCCTGAGGTAAGTCATTGTCTTGCTGTGTTGAACAGAGAGCTTTGAAACAATCCTTTATGGTATCTAGGCAGTCATCCAAATGGTATTATTGTATACAAACGGGTCCAGCCTGTAGTATGTCTTTGTCTTTAATTTGTTTTTAATTAGGGTAATTATTCATAGAAGGGTTTCTATTTCAAGACAAGGATATTTGAAAATCCTAAAGTTGTGAATTAATATACAGTGAACATAATGTTCTTTTGATGAGAGATTCTTGTCCATGATCATTTCAAGTCAAACTCACCTAGTTGAAAAACAGCTTTTCTATGCATTATATTTCCTGCAGCACCTGCTAGCTTGAGGATTCGTTCCATGGTACTTATATTGTTGGCTACATTCTGAAAATTGCTTATTCAGACTGATTAGCACTGTTGATTCCATTGTGTACCACCATAATACAGTGAACCATTCCCTGAACTTGAAGCTTAACATAGTTCTGAGGGCATCACGGTGACTGACTTCTCATTTTATCTTTCTCAGCCTGTGCTTTTGGACAGCAGCAGCATTCTTGCTGACAGAATTCTGCTGATGGATACTTTCTTCCAGATTGTAATCTACCTTGGCGAGGTACAGTACAAATCACATGCCTTTCTCTTATTCCCCTGCACCATTACTGTGTCTGTAAAATATATGAGCGGGAAGTAGTGGTGCGGGGGATGTTGCAGTACCCCCAGGTTTTGCACCCAGTTTTCCTGCGCTGGGGCACCAGTCTTGCTGCCCTCTTTGCCAGCTGTAGGTCCCAGCCTCTGGGCAGTCCCTGCAGGGTCCTGCTGGGCTTCCTGGGACCCTCCAGCCCCCCGGCTTCACTGCCAGCTCCCATCTTGTTAGCATGCTTTTTATTTGAATTCAGGGTTAGACAGATACAAAGTCATGGGCTAATACATTGTGGACTTGTCCCGTGTGTCCTGTAACATTCTTGTGTTTTAAAGCAAAGGCACAAAGTTACAAAGAGCAGGGTAACCTGGCGACTTCTCTCTTACTTTCTCTCTTTTCCTCTAATAGACGATTGCGCAGTGGCAGAAAGCTGGCTACCAAGACATGCCTGAATATGAAAACTTCAGGCATTTACTGCAAGCCCCACTAGACGATGCCCAGGAAATATTGCAGACTAGGTTCCCAATGCCGCGTTATATTAACACGGAACATGGAAGCAGCCAGGTATATTAGTTTTGAATAAAGCTTTTGGTTTAGTATTAAGCTGATTCTGTAGACTAAATAACATTGCAAACAATGAATAGTGCTGTGGCAGTAATTCAACCCTCAAAGTGGAGAGCCTGTATGGCTTGTGAGCCCTTCCCACTAATAGTCTGTTTTAAAAGAGTACTTTGGAAATCGCTCCTGGGACAGAACTTTTAAATAAAAGGGTGCAAAAAAGAAAATGATCAGCTCACTAATGGAGAATAAATGATCATTGCATAGCAAAATGTATCTAATTTAGGTAATGCATTCAGTGCTACTACTCCCCTAGCAAATACTCTCTAGGAAGTTCTTTGCAATTGTGTCTGTTATCGCCTACTGCTGCTGGATAATCAGTAGTCCTCAAAAGTAACTAAAATTTCAGAGGGGTAGCTGTGTTAGACTGTAACTTTAAAAAGTAGTAGTCCTGTGGCACCTTGGAGACTAGCCAAAATATATAGAATCATGAGCTTTTGTGAGTAAACCCTATTCATCTCATGAAGTGGGTTTTATTCATGCAAGCTCATGATTCTATATATTTTAGTTAATTTCTAAGGTGCCTTAGGACTGCTCATTGTTTTTACAGGTCCTTGTTAGTTCCCTTTTAGTCCATCCCTGTTTAAATGATGCCCACTGTTCCGTGTATAATGCGTGTGGAGAGGGCTGATAAAGAAAAGTTATTTATTAGTTCCCTAAATAGAAGAACTGGAGGACACCAAATGAAATTAATGGGTAGCAGGTTTAAAACAAATAAAAGAAAGTTCTTCTTCACACAGCGTGTAGTCAACCTGTGGAACTCCTTGCCAGAGGAGGCTGTGAAGGCTAGGACTATAATAGAGTTTAAAGAGAAGCTAGATAATTTCATGGAGGTTAGGTCCATAAAAGGCTATTAGCCAGGAGATAAAATGGTGTCCTTGGCCTCTGTTTGTCAGAGGCTGGAGAGAGATGGCTGGAGACAAATTGCTTGATCATTGTCTTCGGTCCACCCTCTCTGGGGCACCTGGTGCTGGCCACTGTCAGCAGACAGGATACTGGGCTAGAAGGACCTTTGGTCTGACCCAATACGGCCGTTCTTATGTTCTTATGTTATGTTCCTGTGACTTACTGGTGTGTTTCTAGGAGTTGGAAGAATAGCAATTGTTTGTGGTCCAAGTCAGTGATCTACTGTTAATTTCTTCAATTAGATGATCCTGTTCATGCTGATTCTTCTCAAAGCACATGTCCCAGAGCCTAGTGAGAGTATCAGAGCATGAATTTCATGTTGTGTGTTCCAGGAGCAGGATGGTCTTACTTCACAAGAAACCTGCAAAAGCTCTTAAGTGCTGTCACCAGCCACTTTTACCAAACGTACCTCAAAGTGCAGCAGGGCAGGGAAAGTAAAAGAGGGTGGATTCGTGAGCTTATTTTCCCCCCAGAGGTACTAACCTTGTCAAATACAGGATTTCTGAAGGGTTTCTTCTTAAAGGAATAAAACTGCCAGGATTTTTAGCTTGGCAACTTTGTCCCTTGTGGGTCACACTTGGTTAGTCATGGCATTCTCTTTTCCATAGCCTATGGCAGCATTCATAACTAGCAACAAGTGGGAAAACTCTTGCCTCAAAAAAAACAACCAAAATCAGTATAGTCTATATGCCACTGGTAATAAGAAGCAATTTACCTTTTTCTTCCTCTTGTTCCCTTCTCTTCTTATCGCACCTTCTGTAAAAGCTGCATGACTGCCACATCAGTCCAGAAATATTGGTCAAAGTTAATGAGTACAGTGATCAAGAGATGAAGACCACTGCATCATGCGGTTACCATAGTGATATCCATAACAGCAGTTGCATCTGAACTTTAATGAGACACCAGTTCAAGTTAAAGTAGAAAATATACTCGCTAAACAAGGAGCTGAATGCAAAGGCTAGCCAGACTGATGTGTGGTCTGGGGTATGGTGGTAAATCCTGAGGATGTGGATGTTCTTTGTTATTTTTAAAACAAGTTTTGTAATATTTGGTTTATTTTTACAGGCCCGGTTCCTCTTGTCTAAAGTGAACCCCTCTCAGACTCACAATAACCTTTATGCATGGGGACAGGTGAGTTATGGAGGGGTTACTGTTGCAAGGACAGAAGCATAGATATACAGTATACACACTTTTTTTAAAATTTGTGTTTTCCTCCCCATTCTGTTTGCTTTCTAATCACACAGCATTAGGCTATATGAACAATGGCTTGCTTTGTTCCTGCGGGTTGCTTTAGACCTCTCTTGCATCTCCCCTGGCTAGCAACTTTCACAGACATTCATGCCTCGATGAATGGGAAATCTGTCATGTTTTGTGAGGGGAGAAAACAACATCATCTGCCTGTAAGGATGGAGTTGACAATGGAATTGCTGGGTGATGGCTTTGATAGTCACAGTATTTCACAACAGAAATTTACAACTCAGTTCTGAGGAGCCAGATTTTCTTTATAACCTAGACATACATCTTGTGTTCAGTACAATAAATATCAATTGATTAGCATATACTGGCTAAGTTTTATTAACAGGGAAAAATTAGATGACTAGAAGCAATTTGCACATTCAGGATAACGTTTTCAAACCTGGATATCTAAAATTACGCTCCTATTTTTTTTATTAAAGCTCCTAAATAAAGCTAAGGTGATAGTGAGTGGAAATAGAAATCTGATTGTTAGTCCTGAGCGCCTACAGCTCTTACCGAGTTCAGTGGGAGCTGCCAGAGCTCAGCAACTCTGAAAACCAAACTGCTTTGATTTAGGCTACACTTCCAAAGCACTAGGCAGTCAGATTTGAAAATGTTGTTGATCAACCCATCCCTAACTGGTCTGATACTGTTAGGTCACAACTGGTTTACTTTAGTACTCTGGTATTATAGAGCAAAAGTATTAATAAATGAATCCACTTATCAGGTATGTGTACTATATCTGAATATACAGTGTGCTTGATTTTGTGACTATTCGCTCTTCCTCTACCTTTGTCTATGTAAATTCTCTGGGGCATGGATACACAGGTTGCTTGCATGAATAATAAATATTTCACTATTATGTATTCTTTTGGGAAGCCACAATATGAAATTTGATTGTTGCTTTTGTTACCAAGCGGCTTCTTCCAACATATCCTCATGCAGTTGATTTAGCAGGCACTTAGGATAGGGCACTTCAGTTTGACATCCTTTCAGAATAGTCCTAATAGTAACCATATTTGCTTTGTTCTTACACGTATTTATTGTTTTATATTCTTATAGGAATCGGGATCTCCCATTCTGACAGATGACGTTAGTCTCCAGGTGTTCATGGATCATCTGAAAAAGTTGGCGGTATCAAGTGCATCATAACTTTGACAACAAGGAAGTGACAAAAAAGCAAAGAATTAACAGGATCATGGTCACAATTAACAATGTGGAGAAACGTACTACATTCCTTTCCCTCTGAGATCAAGCCTTTTAAATATTACATAAAATGAATATTCAAGGGGAGTTTTGTACTTAGTTCTTTTAGATTTTAATTTATTTGTATCCTTTATATGTGCCCTCCGATTAATTTTTTCATACTTCGCAGCTCAAGGATCTTTTAGCTGATATAAATGTCAATACATTTTTAGATTAATTTTAATGGCCTGTATGTAAAAATAATTAAACAGTAACTTGCCTTTCAGCAACTTCATCAGATACCAGGAGACTGTACTGATGAAAAATATAATTGGAGGAGGAGATCATTAATATTTAGTGCTGGACTGAACTAGTGTGTGCGTGCGTGCACACTGAGAGGTGGACTTCATCACACAATGGAGTACAATATAAACTTTTTTCCTTGTTCTGGAGATCTCAGAATGCTTCATCTTGTTGCTTCATCATGTTAAGACTCAGATTTACTCCTGTAAAATATAGGGTTATGTTGATCAAGATCATAAGGATCTATCTAAATTTATTAATTTCCAGCTCTTTTGTTACCATCTAAATTGAGTTTTGCATTTCTCTGTTCTCTTACTCTGATATACAGTATTCTTAGTAATTACAGGAATTTAGTACTGGCTTTGTTGACTGTAACTCCTTTTTCATATAGATCAATAACAAACATTTCTTGCCCATAATATAGTAGAATGTGGGGTTTTTTCCACACTTGTTAATATATCAAAATTCTCTGCATTTTATTTTCCTTCTTTAAAACCTCTGGGATGAACCAAGATTGAATAATGTTTTTAGAGCTAGATTTCACATCTCAAATATGTTGCTAGTTTTAAAATGCTTTGGACAGCTACTCATGCATAAAATCTAATGTTAACACATTCCACATCCTTGAAATGCAGTCTGAGAAGTGACTATAAAAAATGGCAGCATGAATTTGTATGGTCTTTTAGTAGTTTCCATGTCATATGTATTAACAAGCCTCAGCATTTCTATTTTGCTGTACATCTTCAAAGAATTTAGGCAATAATTAATGTTTGTAACATTCCTGAGGTATTCTCAATGACTTCAAAACTAAACAAACCCAGGTATTTTCAATCTTTTCTCTTGGGTCTCATTTTCTAGACATTTAATAATTTTTGTTAGTCTCCTTGGGACCTTCTCCAACTTGTTCACAGGGTTTGTGGAGATAAAGTGGATATTTGCAGGGCTCTACCTATTGTCCTACACATCTGTGATTCCATGACTTAGAAGGGATCTGGATCAGTCATCTAGTCCAGTCTCCTGCAGTGAAGCAGGGCTAAATATGATCTAGACATACCTGACATGTATTTGTCAAACCTTTTCTTAAAAACCTCCAATGATGGAGAAACCTCCCTAGGTAATCTGTTCCAGTATTTAGCTATCCTTACAGTTAGGAGGTGCTTCCTAATGTATGACCCAAACTCTTTTGTTGCAATTTAAGACCATTGCTGTTTGGTCTGTTCTGGTGAATAAGGAGAACGATTTATCACCCTTCTCCTTATAACCAGGGCCGGACCAAGCCATTCTGGTGCCCGGGCAGACAGTTTAATTGTGCCCCGGCTTGTGACCCAGTTGTTTTCAGTCTTTTTTCAAAGTTCATGTTTTCTTGACATTTAATCATTTTTTGTCGATCTTCTCCAATTTGTCTACATCTCCAAGGCATGATGCCCAGAACAGGATATAGTACTTCATCTGAAGATTTATCAGGGCTGAGTGGAAAAACAACTCATGTCTTTCTTACAGTGCTTCTGCTTACACATACCACAATACTGGTTTGGGTTTTTTGCAACAGTATTGCGATCTGCAGTCCCAATGTACAAAGCCCTATTCCCCTTTTTCCCTGCCTGTCCATCCTGAACAAACTGTACCCTTCTATATCAATATTTGTCATGTGAATTACTCCACCAAGTCTCTGTGAGGCCATTTTGTGTTGCAATTGTGATTGTTCATTAGTAGTTGAAGTTCTTCCTGTTTATTCCGTAAGCTACTTTGGCAGGTTTTATTCTCAGACTTGAATATTCACATGAATAGTCAGAGAGAGGTAGCCGTGTTAGTCTGATCTTGGTAAAACAAAAAAGCAGTTACCTAGCACTTTAAAGACTAGCAATATAGTTCATTATCACCTAATAAACTATTTTGTTAGTTGTTAAAGTGCTCCGTAACTACTTTTTTGTTTTATCACATGAATCTTACTTTTTTTTTAAAGGAAAGTTGAAACTGGAGAAGGGTGAGGCTGGCACAACTGCAGTAGTAGGGAAATCCACTTGGCAAGAACCATGGGGTGCAGCCATATACATATAAACTGGACCACACTGTTTAAAAAAAAGATAGCACTAAAGGGCAACTGACTGTTTTAAGGACTGACTCTATGCAGTGGTGGGAAAAACACAGGGCCAGGTTAACTGCTAACCCTCATTCTGGGGGCTCCCCCTGCCTTCCAAGCACGGAGCCAGGGAGAAGAGGGAAGGCCAAAGACCCATTGCTCAGCCTGCTAGTATCACTAACCCTTCCACATTATCATGTCTCCTCTTGCTGTTTGGTGTCATACTCCTAAAGAGCCAGCACCTGGAGACTGGGAGGGAGGTGTGATTGGGGGGGGAAGAGGGAGGAGCAGGAGGTTGTGCCTGGAGCCCCATGAGAAGGGGAGGGGATGTTTCCTGGGGATGCTCTAGAGCAGTGGTTCTCAAAATATTTGGGCTGTGGCCCACCCTACTCACTGCAAGGGCTGGGAGGGAGGGTTGGCCAGGAGATGGCATGCGGGGGGG